ATGCAGATACCAGGCAGAATAATCATCACACTATTGAGGCTACGAATGTTGAGGAGGAGGAGGAGGAGGAGGTGGTGGTGGTGGTGGTGGTGGTGGTGGTGGCGGTGCTGGTGGTGGTGGTGGTGGTGGGAAACGGAAGCGTAAGGGCGCGGCAGAGCGACGGCCTCACATGCCCGACTGCACGTTGTCCCCTGGCACATGTCCAAAGACCTGGTGGTGGTGGCGGCGGCGGTGGTGATCAAGTTTGCATGGATCTGTATGGAAAGGCACCGGTGCCAGAGCTCCGCAGCTTTGACCGCACTCATCCTGGATTAAGGTTTTGAGGTTGTGGAGTGAGGGTTGGGGCTATGGCATAGGGATCTGAATTTGGTCCAGGTTTATAGGGATTATGGTTTGGACTGTTTGGACTGTAAGATGGCGCGTTCTGGGCTCTAAAGTCCCCCTGAGAGTCCAACCTGATGTAAAAGCTTCGATAATTGCCAGTATTATGGCCGCTGACTCCTTACATAGTTATAATATAGGGTACCTCAAGTAACAACTTAACCTGAAAATGATATTGGGAATTCTTTAGGATTATCCTTTCAAATCTTTGATAAAGTCCGTTTCCAATTCATTTCCACGTTCTTTTCCATTTGACTTTCATGAATTTTTGGGCCCCTAAGCCCATAAACCCGAAACACCTAAACGCCGAACCGTAAACCCGTAAACCCTCAAGCCCTCAAGGCGGCCGCGGCAAATCCGGAAAGCTGGCGTCTTTCTGCCTCAGCCAGCATGCCACAACAGATTCGCCCCTGGCCTGGTGGGAGGATTTCGGGTTAAGGGTTTGGAATTTAGGGCTTAGGGTTTAGGATTTCGGGTTCGGGGCGTAGGATTTCACTGCGCAACTTACAAGGACGTGTTCTGACCTCACCCCAAATGGCATTAAATGTAGCAAAATAACAACGTCGTGGCTTCTTTGCAGATTTTGCCATGACCTGGAATTAACGAGTTCTCAGTCTCTAAACCCTAACCTCCGAGAACCTCGAACTAAAACATCCCAAGCCCTGTACCCTAAATCCTAGGCCTCAGGGTTTATATGGGTTTTAGGCTTATTTACCACATAGGATTTGTTCACAGTTCAATTACGGTTTGTTTGGGGTAGGCTTAATTTCGGGTTTCGGGGCCTTTGGGTCCTAGTGTGGCATCTGTATGCATGCATTCATCGTGGCAGCCCGCAAAAACAACCTGGCCTCATCTTTGGAGAGAGTTCGCAATGCGACCACCCTCTCAATCTCCTCAATCAGGAGGCTGTATAGAAATAGTTTGGAATTTGCAAAACATCAGCCATATTGACCCCTCGACAGCCCGAAACCCCTACAAACCCTATAATCGCTACAAGCCGCATAAACCCACCCCTAAGTGCTTAGGGTAAGCCTGAACCCTGCTGGGCTTGTCCCGGCATACCGTCTCTGAACCCAAAACAATAGCATCTTGCATATTGCGGAACCATCCTTGTCAAAACAACACGACTATTTCAGAGTGACTTGTGCCAGTGCAGTCTCAAGTCATGTAGCAATGTGGTAGTTTCCCAAAATAAGGGGACCCCAAGATAGACCCCAAAATACTATAGTCCTTATTATGGGGACCCCCAAAAAGGTTGCCCCTAATTTTGGGAAACCCCCATGTAGCTTCCTGTGTCATTCCTTTAGTGGGTAAGCAACGTCTCCTTAGGGCCCTGGCACACCCAACAGTACACTGTGCTGGAGAGTCCTTCAGAGCCTGCGCTCGGTGCTTCCGAATTCATTCAAACGATCTTTCTCTGTGAGAAGGTCAGAGACTTCACTATTCCATTGCAGCTGCTATTGCCACTATTTATGTTCAATACTTCTAAGCTGGGGTTACTGCTGTTATGGGTGCTACTTTTTTTTTTCTTTTTTTTTGTTTATTGTTGCGTTCGCTTATACGAGCTATTGCTATTATTGCTATCATGGTCGTGGTCGCTACTGTTGCGGTGGCTACCAATACCGTTTTTGGTATGATAACTATTTTTGACTATTACGCTCACTGTTGTTGTTACCGTGGCTTTTACAATGGCCAATATGATAACTACTACTTCGATTCTTGCAGGTGCCGTTGTATTGTAGTTACCAGAGTCATGATGAAATCTTATGTTACGGTTATTACCGGTACCATCAGAATTACTATTGCTAATCCTTTCCATAATACTTCTTCTACCACTACTATTACTTCAATTGCTATTATTGATCATTATTCTTACTACACTCACTACTATTAGTACTTTCAGTGCTAGTACCATCACGATTACTATTACCATCTAGACGTCAATCTGCTCTGAAGACTTCAAGCCCCAAATCCTGGTAAAAGTAGGGGCCTTAGATGCTGAGAATAAACTTTGGCATGGAGGCTCTGGTAACAAAAAGCACTTGGAACACGAGCGCTGTTATGGTTTGGGGATGGATGCTCTGCATGACAACCGGATGCACTCGGAGTACAACCGTCATTCTGATTTGGGATGCGAGCGACATTAACTATGGTTTGAGCATGGATGCTCTTGTAACCGTATGCGCTAGGAAATGAACGCTAGTATGGTTTTGGCATAGATGCTTTTGTAACCGGAAAGGGTAACCCCAGCATGAAAGGTCCCAAAGCGGACGAAAACGCTAGGCGCCACGGGCGCCATTACTATTGGAGTTACTACTGCCACTCTGTTACTGAATAGTCAGAGGGCTTCTGGGCCCTCATGCATTTTACATCTGACAAATCCACGGAATGCAAGATCACGAATCCCCTCCCTGAACCCTGAACCCTCAGAATTAAACCCTAAACCCTGAACTCCAAACCCTAAGCTCTAAACCCTCATAGCCCTCAGCCCCAAGCCATAAGCCCCAAACTTCCAATCTTCGACTCGAGGCCCCCGGTTACGACGCGTAGGACAAAGTCTTCCTCGCCGGCGCTTTCCAGGAGGCATGCTTGGATCAGGGGGCTCAGAAGGTGGGATGAAGGTAGGTGGGTTGAAGGATCCCTTGTATATACTCTACTGTACTTTTTGGTAGATTGGGGCTTATTTTCTATACCCTACCTTCCTTTACCCCACCTTTTGAGCTCTACCATTGGAGAATCGGGTGTCCCGTAATATGAGCCTTTGGGCCTTTTTGGGGGATTCTAGGGACCTTTAAACTTTATACAGGACATAGTATAGGTACACAAGGGTTCCAGGGGCAAGGCCCATACCAGGGCCCCATGGTTTCAACCTATAAGCCCAGGTGCTCATGGACTTCTGGCACGCAGCACGAGTTCTAGTTCTGACAGTATTCATGTTACTCGCAGGCCCCTCCCCTAAACACGAAACTCTACACCCTAAACCATGCCCCATAGAATCCCTCTCTTCAAGCGGGAGGGGATATGAGGAGATTACTGGTAATCGTAAATGGGTTCTTTCTGGCGGAATCTCTTTAGCTTTCTAGTTTAGAGCTTCCAGTTTAATTAGGGCTAAAGGCTTTAGGGTTTCGGGTTGCAGGGTTAGGGTTTAAGCTTTCAGGGTGTAGGGGCCTATAAGCCCTAAACCTGAAACCCTCTTCCCCAGGAGTGATGACATTGACCTAGTCGCCGCCATGGAGCTCTCACCCTTTTCATGGTCTGCAGCTCAGCGAGTGAAGCGTGGTAGGGATAGCGGAAATGCCGAACTGGAAACAGGCATTGTCATCTTATGATGCTCATGTGAGCCATAATCTAAGCTCCTTAAAAGGGGTTATATAGGGAATTATATAGGGGACTATTATAGGCATTATTAATAAGGGGGATACTAGGAGTTTAGATTATGGCTCATGTAGCCGTGGTATCCTGTAGCATAACAAGCCCCAAAACCCTTTTTCGAATTGCAGGACTGCTGGCCTGCTGGTACGGTATGTTCTGGACACCCGTAGCCTTCAGCCTTACTTGTGGGGGCGGGGCGGGTCATAGTCTCCAATAGAGAGCGCTGTGTCCCTAGAAGGGGTGGGGGTCCCTAAGAGGGGCCGATAATTATTTCCAGGACTCAAGCAGGATTGTTTCTAACTAGTGCAGGTAGCCTTCAGTCTTGTGCCCTCCGCAGATTGTTATGACCTCACCCTTCCTCAACCTAAATGGTGTAGCAGAGTTGGTACCATGATGGCCTTGTCGCAGGATTTGGATTTGGAAGTTGATTTTGCCATGGGAATGCTTATGTACAAGCACTGCAGAAACAGTTGAACGACTCTCGACCGAAAGTGTGTCCTGGGGCTGGAACATGGAAGTTTCTCAAACTAGCAATCTCACCCGAGAATAACAGGGCCCTGAATATAAAAGGAACTTATAAAGGACCCATATCCATCCTAAATCCTCAACCTAAACCGAACAACCTGAATCCTAGACCCTAAATCTTTCAAACCCCTCATCTAGAGATAAGCTAGGTGGGCCAAGCTTCTCCAGCGGTCCCGCCAAGACTTGCACAAGCCTGAGAAGGCCATTCCGTCAAGTTATTTGAAGTGTTTAGCTGTCGGGTTTTCGTGTTTAGGGCTAGTGCTGGACGTTTTAGGCTTTAGGGTCTGGGGTTTAGTGTATCAGGTTCGGTGCAGGGACCTTCCCCAGTATAAATCCGGTCCTGTCAAGAACTCTAAACAACGTACTCGGCTTTGCTACAGAACAAGACTCCACAAACCCCTTACCACTAAAATTGGTTGATTCAAGCCCTGCACTAAGAAGTGGTTCATTCGACGTTGGTTGGATAGCTTGTTAAAGTTTTCGGTGCCTTTTTCAAATCCTAAACCGTAAGCCGTTTGTATCCCTAATACCGCCTGAAAGGGATCATAGTGTTGGTAGTCATTGAGTTGTTGGGAAGACTCCAGTGCTTTTGGTGAAGGCAGTTGGAGGGCCAGAGGTGGAGGACTTAGCAAGTGTACCTAAAACCGCTATCCCTAAATCCTAAACCTTAAACCCTAAATCATGCAGGGGGTTTAGGGCTGAGGGTTTGGGGTTTAGGGCCTTAGAATCAAGCCATAGAGAAATCCTAGTTATTCTCATCAAGTATTGGCCTACTTACTGGGTACCCCTGACTCTAACCCTAAGGGTCTAGGGTTTAGGCCTACTTGGCCTACTTACTAAGTTCCCGTGACCCTCCCCCTGTACCCCCAACCCTAAACCCCAAACCCTAGGAATCTACATGTGCGGCAGGCGGCGAACGGTGATCTCCACGAGCCGAGGCAAGAGTGAGGTAGATTCCCAAAGGACCCCCAGATAGGACAACCCCTTTGAGCCCTAAACCTTACCTGAACCCTCAAGGCATGTAGAACAATGGCCCTTTTGGGCTCTGTTTAGGTGTTTGGGGCTATTATCTTACCTACTTTTGGGATCCAGGTAATCCCTAAACCTTAAATCCTAATCCCTAAAGAAGGATCCCATCAAAGTAGCTTCTTCTTAGAGTTCTCCTTTCGGGGTCTGTCCTATCATAGGTTGAGGGTGTAGGGTTCTAGGTTAGGGTTTAGAGTTTAAGGGTTTAGGGGATACGGGGTCTAGGGTTCGAGGTTTCGGGGCTTAGTCTATGGGTTTGGGGTTCAGGGTTTAAAGGCTCAATCAGTTGTTGGTGTCCATTAATGCTGGCTATATGGGGATGCTTGGGGCATGGTATCGGCAACTATTCTGGTTTCTGCATTAACGCCCTTCTTTCCACTAAGCCCCAACCAAAATCTAGCGCTTTCAATCTTAACCTTCAACCCCAAACCTTAAACCCCAACTCGAACCCTCAACCCCAAGCCTTGGCGTTAAGCCTAAACTCATACACTGAACCCTGAGCATACACCTGAAACCCTGAACACTGTATATCCATGTGGGTGGTTGTCAAAAATGTGGTCCCTTCTTGGGTACCCCGAAAATTAGGTGCTGTATTCTAATAGGAGCAAAGAGGGACCATAATTTTGACAACCGTTACATAGATCCCAATTTCCAGTGCAGTTTCATCTTCTTTTCCGTTCGGTTGTCGATCATCCGCAAGCCTTGCCGTGAACCAGAAAGGAGGTTTTAGGTTTTAGGGGTCTAGGGTCTAGGGGTTTAGGGGTCTAGGGTCTAGGGGTCTAGGGGTCTAGGGTCTGGGGTTTAGGGTCTAGGGTTTAGGGTTTAGGGTTTAGGGTTTTAGGGTTTAGGGGTAGTTTCGATTTTATTTTCCATCCGCTTCTCCATTCGATTCTCGACTAGGCGTACTATCTCTGGATAACCCCTATATCTCAGCATACCTATTTCAAGTGTACTATCTCTGGATAACCCCTATATCTCAGCATACCTATTTCAAGTTGCCTAAGGTTTCACTCAGACCCTAGACCCCCCAAACCCTAAACCCTAAAACCCCCTAAACCCCAATCCCCAATCCCCAACCCCAAACCATAAACCCTAAACTCCCAAACCCAAAACCCTAAACCCCCTGAACGTTGGCGGGGTGGTTGGGTCTTCCTATCCAGCCAGGGATCCTATTTTGACACTCAGGGTTCAGGGTTAGGGTTGAGGACGAGCGACAAGATTGTTTAGAGTTTGGAGACTCAGGGGTTTGGGTTTATAGGGTTTAGCGTCTAGGGGTTCAGGGTTTTCAGGTTTCGGGCTTAGAGTTTTGGGTAAAGGAGGAGGCACCCTCAGGGTCCAAGTACCCAATAACTTGGTCCTTGGTGGTAGAATTCATATATGATGATTAGGTACTTGAACTCAGAAATGAGGACTGTTAGGGGCCCTATAACCCCAATTAAGGGCACGAGGAGGTCCTGGTACCTTAATCCCTTTCTCCTCAAAGTTTCCAGTTAACTTTCCATGTGCTTTTCCATCTGACTCTCCGTTATTCATGTGTAAACCTAAACTCTAAGCATTGGAGGGGCCTGGTTCAAGCTTCTCAACAGCAATCCACATCTGGGCCCCGTGCTGTGTTCCCGGTCCTTGGTGAGCTGCTGTAGTACAACGGAGGTTTAGGGTTTAGAGAGCTTGTATGAGAGTTTCCCTTAAAATAGGGGGACCCCGAAATACATTCGGCTTGGCATGACTTGCTGATGGCATAGGTGCGCTGCCAAGAAGGCACTCAGGACAATGGCATTTGGACCTCCGAAAGAACCTAAACCTTGAAGCAATACTGGCCTGCTCTTGGGGTTGCCCATTTAATCGTGGCCCCTGGCCTGGACTCTAGAAACCTGATTTCGTGCCACTGATATTCCCTTTCGAGCTTTGTTCACTAGTGTCAAGTATGTGTCAATTCTGCCTGCCGCTGTTTAGAAAGGCCCTTCTAAGACCACTTTCCCTCTGCCGCAGGCGCGGCAAGGGTCAGGAGATTGGCGCGCAGGTGGGCGGCGGGGCCTTGGGGTGAGGGGTGGGAGGCTAACATTTTTGGGTTTAGGCTTTTTCTAGGGGAGCAGAGACCGGATTTGTGCAAGGGTTACAGTTACAGGGAGATGGCATGCGTATGTTCAGTTGTCGCGCACCTAAACTGATAATTAGTCGTACAATCAAACATTGCTAGATGCAAGGACTTTAAAGTAGTTACCATTTCCCATGTGGTCATTGTTAGTGGTTTGGAGATCGCCTAAACCGTCAGGTTTTCTGTGGCGTGTGAGAGTATTCAGGCATAAGCCTTCGAAGTCAGGAGGGCAGCATTTATGGTTTGGGGTGGAAGGCCTTCGGCAGCTTGCAGGGGAACATAAATGTTGCAGTTGCTCTACGGCTGAGGTCCCGCAGATCCGAGCTTTTACTTGCTATTGATAGACGAAACCTTGCACATCTTACATGCACAAGAGAAGTAATTATGGTAATGAAATCTGCTTTTATGTTCTGCTGGTTTGTCCTCCATCAGCAGTTCTGCAGCCAACACCAGGAGAGAGTTCTGCAGCTAACCTAATTTGGAAGCCTGAATGGTTACTGGTATTTCTCTCAGCTATCCTTCCTTTATTGAGGCTCCTCTTTACTTCTCTGAAGGGATATCCTTGTACAATATAAAAACAGGCTTGGCAATAAATCTCCTTCAAATGCCTTCACAGGTACCGTAGGGACCCACATAATCCTAATGTAACCCCTAAACCCTAAACCCTAGACCCTCAAACGCGTAATTCTCAGACATCCACCGGGTCCCGAAGGCACCTCAATCTAGAGAAACTCTATGAATGCAGAAACCAACAACTTAAGCCACGCGTAGCTTAGCCTCATACCTGTTTTGTTGATTCTTGCAGACCTTTGGGCCTGCTATATCTTGCTCTTGCTTGTCTTCATGAGGACGGAAGCGAAATTCTCAGCCTAAGCAAAAAAGTCTAGGGTTTAGGGTTAAAGGCCTGAAGCCTAGATCTTGGGCAACATGCTCCTCCCTACATAAGCCATCATGTGTGCTTTCCATCACTAGGCGCAGATTTCAGAGTTTCTGGATGGTGTTTTTTTTTGAATTGTTTCCATCTATTTGCCAATGCAGATTCCATTGGAGAACTTTGGCATGCTAATAAGCCGCTCTATGCCATCCAAAACGAACTCAGGAGATGCGAGTTATAAGAAACGTGGTTTCGTCTTGGCAGCGTCATATATGGGAGTTTTATTCGAAAGCACCTCTGTTCAATGAAAAGTGGAGCTTCCAGTTATCCCCTTGAATTCTCGTTGTAGCCGGAGGTCCCGAAAGTCCTCCGAGCTTTGAGAAGCTCAAAGTTGAACGCAAACCCCAAGTTCTTTCTCCTTCTCTCTCCGTCTATATAGATGTCTCCATAAGCCTTTTTCGAGACAACCCCTTGCGCAGACCTTGCAACTTCTCGTAGAACTCTGCTTACAGATGTATATGTATAAGCCTGCAGACTCCGTAGAAGGTCTCTCAGGACTCTATGACACATTGCCGAAGCTGTAAACCCAAATGTCATGCTGTGGACACAGGCCATACCAACATCTCCTGCGGTGGGTCTTCCGCTCACACAGGTGCCATGCCCCCTAATTTCGGCAATCGCTTCACCTAGAGGAGGGTAGGGGTACTCTATCGTATTGCAGAAGAGAAGACTGCTGCATGACAAATGGGGTCACAGAGATAGGTGTTTAGGGTTTAAGGTTCAAGGTTCAGGTTTTAGGTTGCCAAGTCGGCAGCGTATCACTCTCGCCAGATGCCCGAAGTATTCTGGACAGTCCGATCTTGCGGGCTGAGGACATCTTGCTATTTTGCACAATTATTGTGATCCTGTGTGGCTGTGGCAAGGTACTTTCCATGAACAGGGGGCGCCCATCTTGACCCCCTTATTTCAAGGACCCCAAAATTCACGTTCCTGCTTTTTGCAACCTCCAGATACCAGTACTTGGACGCTCGGGAGACTCGGCAAGTAAACATGTTGCCCCTGTCCACACACTCTTTCCAGGGTTGCCAGGTTGCCTTTACAAGAGCTTAAACTGCGCGGTTTAGGGTTTAGGGCCATAAGCTATCTAGTAATTGTACTTGCGTCCATGTCCATCCAGCCCAAGATGTGGGGAACCGGCATAAAGTTCTTTAGCAGCAAGGCAGCCTTTCAGAACCCCACTGGTGGTTGGGGAACGCATGATACAACGAGTCCCACAACCCTTTCCTGATGACCTTGCATGAGGAGCTGCAAGTGTCGTAAGGAACAGACAAACTTATCAAAGGCCCCTGCAAGCCTGGACCCTCAGCCTTGAACTCGAAACCCTAAATCCTAAACCTTAAACCCCAAATCCTAAACCCGAGACCCTAAAACCTACACCCTAAATCCTAAATCCCAAACCTTGAGCTCTGAACCCTTTCTTGCGCAGGCGGTTGAAGGCCCTGTGGTGCCCATGAAGGGCATCCCTGCGTCTTGGCATAACTGAGCTAGCTCCGGGGAAGGAATCGAAATAGCCCTTGCTGTCGGTGCCGTTCATGCATTCTAGATAAATTCAAGACAGCCTTCGCGTCGATTTACAGACCCCGCAACCATCCGAAACCCTCGAGGTTTTGCAACAAAAAAACAGACCCTCAGCCAATTTATGGACTTTAAGGCCTTGAGTGGGTGATGGTCAATATAACAACCCTAAACCCCCTAAACCCTAAACCGCGTTTGAGCCCCGTGCCATGATCCGTAAATGTTCGTTCTAATGCTTACGGTTTTTGTAGGGAACAATGGAGATGTTAGATAGAGATTGTATTCCCATGCTCCCTACTCACCACCGGTAAGGCTAATCATCCCTGGAAGCTTTGACGCAGAGGTATCCGATCCGTCAATTATACAAGGAATCTAGGACCACAATGTTGGTAATTATCCCCGCTGAACTCCAATTCAGCTCTATTTACAGTTCATTCTCCATATTATGGTCCATTTTCTGGCCCTTAGTTCTCCACTTGTGGGACCTGACTTTGTGCTTCATGAGGTGCAACCTTAAACGTTACCGGAAGGACAGTATTTAGTGCAAAAGGCTGAATAAATACTAAAAAGTTGCTACGTAATGGCCTTTGTAGAAGCATACACCTAAACCCCCCAAAGGCAAAGTAATGCCAGCACCCCTTCCACAAGCCAAAAGGGCCACTATTTTACATCCTCTGGGGCTTCAGGTAGTGTAGTCATCCTGGCTAAGCCCTAAACCCTGAACCCCTGAACCCTAAACCCTTAAAGTCATCCTCACATCCCCAATCATCTGGGAATGCCTAAAACCCCTATGCCCCGAATCCAAAACCGTTCCTTGGCTCCGTATTCTTAGGGTTTGGGCTTCAAAATTTAGGGTTCAGAGTTCAGGGTTTACGGTTTAGAGATTAGGGTTCAGGATTTAGAGTTTAGGGCTTAGAGTCTAGGGTTTAGGCAGGTAGTCTTAATATTCTTATAGGGATCCAAGTATACAAAGAGTGCCTACGTTGCGCCCTGAAGTCTGTCAATCTTGTCTACGTTGAGCTATTTGGATCTGAAAGGTTTCCACACATCCATGATTTTTATGGTTGTAGGCTGCACCGTTGATGGAAGTGATTTGGCGACATAAAGGGTGCCTATTGCGTTGTCTCTCATATTGTGTGATGTAGATGGCGTGGTGCAAGATTCCCTCTACCCGCTGTACTCGCAGAAGTGGCTATTTCCCCAAGCACTCCTCCAACACTTTTTGTTTGACTCCCATAGCAAATTGCCTTAAAAAAAAAAAAAAACGTAGACCCTAAATCCTAAACCCTAAATCCTAGACCTCTAAACCCTGAATCCATAAACCTTAAATCCCTAAAGCCTAAATCCTCAGCCCTAAACCTTGAAGGTAGGCTTCGGACTGCAGGTGTCCTTACCTGTTGCAGCCTCCCAGTTGGTCAACTGCCCCAGCTGCGGTGCACGACTTAGGGCAGGGTTTATGGTTTAGGGTTTAGGGGCTTCGGGATGTAATCCCAGTACTGGATAAGCACCTGAAACGAACACGGAAAATGGCATGGAATCTGGATTATGGTCTGGAGCTAGAGTAATCCAGACCCTTTGAAAAGGTAAAGGCAGCAAATTTTTAGGCGCAGAGCCTTTTTTCTGGGTACATTGGTTACTTCAGGTAGGGATTCAGGTTCGAGAGAGTCTGGGGTTCAGGACTTGGGGCTTTCGGTTTAGGGTCTCCGGGTTTGCGGTAGGGCTTGGATGAGGCCCTAGACCCTGAATCCCACACCCTTAACCCTAAATCCTTTAGGAGTCAGTGTCTTATCCCCCGGGATGGTTTTATGGATCGGGTTCAGGGATTGGGGTTCAGGGCTTCGGGCTTGCAGACCTCCAAACAAAGATAGAGCCTTTGCCCTTTAGGGGTTTAGGGTTCAGGGCTTAGGGTTTAAGGTCCAGGGGTGGGTTTAGGGTTTTAGAGTTTAAGGTTGAGGGTTTCGGTGCGAGAGTATTTGTAGGTGGTTTCGCGGACATTGGTATTTCCGGCTAGTCTCCACCCGGGAAGCCAAGTTACCGACAATCGTCTCCTGTATCCGAGTATAAGTATTTAGGGTTTAGCGCTTATAAGAGGGAACAGTTGCCCGATGCCCTACCGGTAGAGGACCGTTTGAGAGAGTCACGGACGCGAGTGAGGTTGTCAGCCTTCATGGGGGAATCACCGTGCACCCTGCCCCTGTAGCGCAAGAGCACATTCCAGTTCCATAGGTGGGTCTAGCCGACAAGACTTCAGGAAGACTGGGGAATCCTGAGTTGTAGGGTTTAGGGTTTAGGATAGCCTGACTGATTCTGAAGGAGTGGAGCTGCGATGTATTGTTATTGCTTGCATGCTCATTGCTCGGTCCCAGGCCTCTTCTTGCCAGCGGCCTAAACAAAGACCTATGTACATGGAAATCCGGCCATCCCTGAAGTGTAAGGAGGTCAGATTACACCCTCCATGATATTAGTTCTGGATTTAGAGGACTTGGGAATGCCGGCAGGGGCGTCCCCAAACCCAAAAAGCCTCCCACTTGGACGCGAAGCCCGCAGCATGGAATAGTGTACTGGGGCTTGGGGTTTAGGAGTTTGTTCTCCTTCCGACCAGTCATTTGGTGGAGGGCGTGGACGCTCCGGGGCCTTCTGTGCCAGAGGGGCTGCTGGCGAGATCTTTCTGTGACTGCTCAGGAGCTTCGGCTCAGATTTAAAGGCTTCCAAATAGCTCCAGGATGCTGGTTGGGGAGATGTAGATGCATTATTGCTTAAGATTGACCAAGCTGAGTTCAGGTTACGCCTGTAGCCTACACCAAATGTTGGGCGCTTTGGCAGCGGAGACGGCATTGGTGGGTGAAATGTAGGAGATGGCCAGCCACCAGTGGGTCATCAATGAAGGCATGTGCCACAGGCAATGCGCTGCGTGAGGTGATGCCTTGCTTCTCGACAACATGCGCCTTGCCACATCGCACCAAGGTCTACATCCCTTAGCTGTTTGAGCCCAGTGCTGTCGAGCAGGGCGAACGCACCAGCGACAGTCGAAGTAGCTCTTGAGCCACAACCTCTCTGTCTGGCCACGGTCTGGCAGGTCGCTGGCTAGGGGTTGGGGAGGCCTCCAAGCAAGGCTCCATCCAAAGAAAACCAGTGATCTCGAGCCAGGGACCCACTTGCCTGGTTTTGGCTGGTCAAGAGGTACTCGCTTGTCCAGAGCATTCCAATTCCGGCTGCGTGGTGGACCCGGCGAGAGTATTCCAAGTTGCGCAAGGATCTCCAACCCAATCTCTGCCTGAAGAAAACGAAGCCCTCGAGCCAGCCCAACCAAAACCTTGCACCTGCCTGGTGTAGACAGGCCCAACCCTGCATGGTCAAGAGTTCGAGGCATCCAACCAAGGCGGAATCCGGGAAAACCAGAGGGACTTGCACCCAAACCCTGCGCAAGCCAAGCTTGGAAAACAAGGATCAATCTGGGAAAGCTAAGGGCCTGGAACCAAACCCAAACCCAAACCTTACGCACGCAGAACTTGCTGAAAACGCAAGGTCTCCAACACGCCCCAAACCTTCACGTGCTTTGTCAGGATACCCTACCCAAAGGGTCCATGTAGCCCTAAAGTAGTTATATGGGAACCCCTTTGGGCCTTAAGTATATTTTATATAGCTACATGGACCCTTTGGGCTAGCAGCCACCCACGCATGCCTTGCTACCCAAATCAAACATGAGTCAATGACGCGCATGCATTGTTCATGATCTCAAAGCCCAAAAAAACACACCACAGGACCGGAATGCAATCAGAAATCAAGGAAACCCTAAACCCCAAGAGGTGTAGGTCAGGATGGAGCGCCAGCAGGGTGGACTCATACACTTCGGGGTGCGCGTCTGGGCCAGCGCAGCCCGTCGATCAGACACCATTAACCGTAAATCCTGAACCCAAGCCCCAAACCCACAACAAACATTAACCTCAAACCTAAAGCCGCAGATTCTGGACCTTTGCCTTCTCTATCTGGGGCCTGGAGGGGGAGCAGGGGAAGGTAAAAAAGAAAGTTACTATAGAGTTTAGGGTTAGGGGTGCTATCATATTCTGTCTTTGTCCGGATTACGCAGGGATAGTTAGGGACCTGCACCCTAAACCCTAAGCGATGCCTAGAATTTCCCATTTCCTGTTTATTCCCCCAAAGCAGAAAGTCCTCGGAGGGGCGCCTTGCCATGTTGGAGCAAATTTCTGCTCCAACTGTGGAATCTGGGTCTTTTTTGGACAGCTGTTTGACATTTTGAGGGTGTAGGGTCTGAAGTTCTTGTTGATGCCAAGAATCCTGCATGACCTTAGTTGCCTCAGCACGCTATCATGCGTTATATCCCAGGCTATGAGGTACTGGGTTGCACGAAGGATCTTCTTTGAGTATCAACTCCAGAGAGTAGAGGGCTGGGAAGTTGAGAATGTAGGGTTCAGAGAGGGAAGTATGGGCGTGGAGGGTTTAGGGTTAGGGGTGGGGAGTCGTGTTGAGGTTCTGGATTTAAGTTGAATGCTAGTATTGCGCCACATGAGAAGGTATGTTTCGATCTTGTTCATGGACAAGCCAAAGTCTTACATCACAGAATAAGCCTGAATCTTGGCAATCTTGTAAGTGTAATGCCTCCCGTAATGTTAAACGTTAGGCCCCTGCCTACCACCAACACCAAATATACCATTTCGCTGAACGTAGATGGTCTCGTGTATCTTGCCATGCGCACGGCAGCTGTAGAGGCCTGGGCCTACCTAGAAAACAAGTAGCGCGTAAGGCCCACACGTATGCTATACTTTCCCGATGTCCAATTCTAGGTCCCTAAATAATTTATTTAGGGACCAAGTAGTTGTATGCAGGGGTAGCTAGGTTTTCAAGGTAAACCGAGACTGCATGGTCACTAGCTCACTAGCTTGATCCAGGAAAGAGACTGGGACTGGTGGCCGTGGCAGGCCTGAGCTTTCGCAAGCTGTTTATGAGGTCTTGGGTGTATAGTTAGGGTTTAACCCTGTGCTAGGCCCCTGAACCACGTCAATCATTTCATTACGGTTGATATTTAGTGCCTCGCCTTTGTATACTAAGTTACCATATTCCCAAGGTATAACGAGTGCAGAGCCAGGCAGGATTTTGAGTATCCATCGTAGTAGTTTCCTTCTTGATCATGAGCTGATGAGCCCTTCGAGAAGTATGAGCCCTGAAGAATAAACCTAAACGCGAGAGTACCATAGCGTCCTAGATCATATTTTGGGGTGTATCGGAGGTATCTTAAACAGGAACTATGCAAGGAACCTAGGACCATGATGTGACTAATCAGCTAGGCTTCTACATTACCCATTTTCCTGCCAACTTAACGGTTGTTTGGCAGGTGCTCCTCGAACTGTGAGCCCCAGCCGCATCCCGGATGCATGGTTTAGAGAGCTTTGACCAAGATCCGCAAGTACCTACCATGATGTCACTAGGTGTTAGGTAGGAAAACACCCAAATGATGACCAGATCATAAACTATATCTCCTATAGTTACCACTCTTGCGCAATATAGCCACGTAGCAATAGCCTGTATCTGCATCATCTTGGAGTTCACGGCTACTGTTCCGGGATTCGGGAGGTAGCTGCAATCCAAAGCCCAAGCCTGAACTCTGCCGGCCATGGCTGGGCTGACTCAAGCCACGAGACTCAAAGTTTCTGGTAGTCATAACATAGTACGTGTAACAACAGTGGGATGGTGATAACCGCGATACTGATGGCATACATAGGAGTTGGTTGTCACTAGCCTGGGCGGCTCACGCTGTTACTACTTCTCCCACCACCACGACGTCTACTGCTACTACACCACCTGCTGATGCTTCCGACTTCTTCGTCGTGATAGAGGCCGTAGTAGAAAGTGCTCCTGTAGTAGCAGTAGCAGCAGCAGCAACAGCAGCAGTAGTAGCAGCAGCAGCACTAGTAGTAGCAGCAGAAGCAGTGGCAGCAGTAGCAGCGGTGGTAGAGGTATTGGTGGTGGTGGTGGTGGTGGTGGTGGTGGTGGTGGTGGTGGTGGTAGTAGTAGTAGTAGTAGTAGTAGCAGCAGCTGTAGCTGTAGCTGCAGCTGTAGCTGTAGCCGAACCAGAAGAGGTGGTTTTTGTAGCAGTGGCAGAGACACTATGTAGTGGCGTAGTAATAGTAGCAGTGGCAGTTGGACTTGGAGTAAGAGTAGGAGTAGGAGTAGTAGTAGACGCAGTAGTGGCAGTAGTATTTTATAGTGGTAGCAGGCAGTGGAAGAACTAGCACCGGTACCTGTGATAGTATTGGTACTGGCACAAGCACCACTACTAGAAAAAGTTTCAGAAGACTCTAAGAATCCAAGCAATTGTCTCCGTCAGCAAACCCTCATAGCAGTAGAAGCATTGATGCCGTCCTCGTCGTACAATATGGGAGGACCCTACACCCCCAACCCCCACGGCCCTGAACCGTGACAGCACCACGATTCCTTAAATCTTAACAAGACCCCACAGAGCCCTTTAACTCGCAATCCTAAAAAAGCCTTAAACCCGTAAACTTTACATAATTCAATTCCTAAACATCTTCATCCTCAAGCCCCTTGACCCTTACAACCCCTAAACCCTTCTTTGAGATCAACCACCGCGATGGGCTCGCTCCGTCTCACCGCCGACACGCGCAGGCACTTTGATTGAATTGAGTCATAATCAGGAGTCCATAGGGAAATAAGTCGGTACATATATATGCATACAGGAGTACAGCGATATATAGCGGTTTGTAGGTTTAGGGTCCAAGTACCCAAATATTGGGTGGTCACGTACAAATGCTATAATCTGAGTGGTTGTACCTAAAACCCTAATGATTGAAAATGTGTGTGGGGCTGCCATGCACATCCCATCGTGCAAAATCGCTCCTTCTCGCGCGTGGGCGCAGTCACCATATAATATACTCTTTGCAACCCAGGGTCTTTATTTATCCAAAGCATGCTTTAGTTCTACAAGGTCAGAAGGATATTCAAGCGCAGTGTATTAACCCTGAACCATCCAAAACCCTTAAACCTAAACCCTAAACCCTAAACCTAATCTAGAAGTTTTGAGGTGAGGCTTCAGGGATGAACGTGAGGGTCCGCAAGGGCCGTCAATTCATGGGTACCCTCCGGCCTATACCAGAGCCCTCCTACAGTACCCTATAAATTAATTGGGTGATATAGCCACTTAGGCCTAAATAGAGGGTGGTTGGAGGGTGTAGTAACTGTATGGGTTATAGAATGATTGAAGGCTGTTTATGTATGTATGTATGTACTTACGTACGTACGTATGCATGTATGAACGCATGTATGCATACATGCGTGTATGCATGTATGCATGTCTGCATGTCTGCATGTCTGCATGTCTGCATGTGTGCATGTGTGCATGTGTGCATGTATGCATGTATGCATGTATGCATGTATGCATGTATGCATGTATGCATGTATGTACGTATGTACGTATGTACGTATGTACGTACGTACGTACGTACGTACGTATGTATGTATGTATGTATGTATGTACGTATGTACGTACGTATGTACGTATGTATGTATGTATGTATGTATGTATGTAGATCCAGATGCACAGGGCGTTGGGGTTGACCTGATGCGCCTCTGAAGAGCAGGTTTGCGGGCTTTCTCCTCAAGACAGGG